TTTCCCATTCACTCCAGAAAGGAGAAAGGAAAATCCAAAGAGTTGCATAAATTGAGCCTGCTGCATGGGTAGATTCAGCCTAAGCAAAAGTGCTTGCTGGGCTCCTGTTGTGAGGGGGGGCATATAAGGAAGTGGGAGGCATGCTGCTGACCTCTTGCCACCGTCCCCAGCAAGAGCACTGTGGAGCACTGCCCCCCCCCAAACCCTCGCTAAACAGGAATGCTTGATCACCCACTGGTTCAGTTTGAGAGCTGCTTGTGAGTTGCAGTCATCAGAGTCAAAACTTTTGCTTGTGTTCAAACATGTTTGTGCAGCCATCCCCCCCCCCATTGCACGTGCGTGAGCATATAGAGCTTTGCAGCTCCCTCCGTCTCCCAGCTGCTGCCACTGCCTCCCCACTGGCTATTCGTTGCATTTTTGAAATGAAACAAAATGTTGACATTTCATAGTTAGCAATTTACTAATGTTCTCCCTGTGTTCCTAACAGCAGCATCTCTCAGTGTTCATTTAAGGCTTCTGTCTAGATCTTCACAGATCAAGATGGAAGTATCTGAAAAAGTGAGCAGTGACTCATGAAAGCTCATACCCTTCCACATATTTTGTTAGTCTTTAAGGTGCTACTGGACTCTTGCTCTTTTCTAGATCTTCATAATTTGTGTGTTTCTATTCTTGTCCTGCCTTGTGGGAATTGCACTGTCGTCATCCCCCCGCCCCCAGCATCATAATGGAAATCTTTTTGCTGCTTGGTAAGTCCCAGGTTTAGGCACCTGCCTCAGCTGTTCCAGGAGGCTGTTCTACAACAGCAGGACAGCAACATAAAAGGGCCTGTCCTGTAATGGATTGTATTCTTGAGATTGGGAGGGCTGATGAGAGACCATATTGTGTGGGTCTTAGTTGCCATGTGAGTTCAGAATGAGTATGTGGATCCCAGGTCATGAAGGGCTTTCAAGATAAGCACCAGCACGTTAAATGCTACTCAGAAGCAAATAGGCAGCCAATGAGGCAGCCAGAACAAGATGGCATATCTAGCAAGCCTAAACTTATTTTATGGCTTTTACAAAATAAAATGCATTATTTATAACTTAGTGACTACTTAAATCCAGAGGCTGGAGTCATGAACAGACATGACAAATCTTTCTACAAACCAGGGGGAAAACCCCAGGTTTGCAGGGGGGAAAATCTAAAAAGAAAATACTTGGAGGTAAACCCTCCCCCATTATAGAAGCTGCCCCTGTAGCTTTAAGAAAAAAATGCATTCAGTGGCCATTGCTAGGCAACTACATCATTATTGCAAGCCTTTCAGCCTTGGTTTGTCCTTGATTTCTGTCAGTAAAAGAAAGGGGGAAGGGTCAGGGCCTTTTCCTGGGCTGTTTGGTCTATTGGGTCCAAACCTGACAGCAACTACCGGACAACTTCAACCACACTGCTTGCATGACTCATCCAGGCCTGGCTGATGGCTACTATTCAACAGCAGCTGTCACACAAAAGCCAGTGTGGTTTAATGGTTAGAGTTTCAGACCAGGATCTGGGAGACCCAGGTTTGAAACCCCACTCTGCTCTGGAAGCTCACTGGGTGACCTTGAGCCAATTAAACATTCCCAGCCCAACGTAACTGACGGGGTTGTTGTGAGGATAAGATGGCCGACAGGAGAACAGTGTAAATTGCTTTGGGTCCCCTTTGGGGAGAAAGGCAGAGAATAAATGAAGTAAATAAATAATGGGACCCTCAGTTTTACAATTATATTTTTGGCATCTCGACAAAATTTAAATTTATAAATAACATTGGTTTTCTGCAAGCAAAATTTCAAATACACCTGGTATGCGAGCGAGAGAGCAAGCAAGCTGCAAATTGGTCAATAGAGCTATTTTCAACGATGTCCCCATCACGTCTGGAACATGTTACCTATTGGGGTGATCAAAGCAGTTTGGGCAGCAAACCTGGACTGGAAGCCTGATTACAAAAGGGTCTAAATAATCAGTGATGTTCAAATGTGTCTGGACTTGAACCACCCTAAGCTCTTGGAGTACACCTATTTATTTATTTATTTATTTATTTATTTAATTAGATTTCTTGACTGCCCTTCCCCGCTTACGCAGGGCTCAGGGTGGTTTACAACAAAATAATTCAATACATTATAAAACCAATTAGAAGCATAAAAATTCAATATTAAAAACATTCAAACAAATATTTTAAAACATTTTAAGAACAAGATGGCATATCTAGCATTCAGTTTTGGGAGAGGAGTGGAGAGGGTGCCGGGGAGATGTAAGGACCCATCACTGGCCTCAACCAAAGGCCTGGCGGAACATCTCTGCCTTACATGCCCTGCAAAACTTTAATAGGTCAGACAGGGCATGGATGTCATTCGGCAGAGAGCTCCACCAGGCTGGGTCGAGGTCAGCCGGACATTTTGAAATGATTTGGAACAGTTGTCAAGGTCCCTCTAGTTGTAGCTCCGTGGGACTTTCCTTTAAGGTGTCTGGGACTGTCTCTTGCCTTCAAGAGCCATTGATCACCTGGAGGACCGAGCTGGATGTTATGAGCCATAAAGGGCAAGAAATGAGTAATCAGATGGTAGCCCTTACCACATTCGAAGTATTTTGTTCATATTCTTGGCTGCAATTATGGAAATTCATCAGAACAATAATGACCAGACAGTATGATGGATACATGTTGAACCCCTGTTGCATTTATGGTAGTATTCATGGTTTCTCAAGTTGTTTCTTTATGCTGAACAAAGCAGAACAAAGAGGAGTTCAGTGCATAGAAAATACTATTTTCCTTGGAAATCCAGCTTCCCCCTTCTTGACACATATAGTGCTGAAATTATTTAGAAATTATTTCACTTTTGTAACATTAAGGACAAGGGTGGCACATTGGCCGGTGGCACGTTCTGGTAATTATGCTAGTGGGAAAAGTACCAAGGGGAATCCCCAAACAAGTCACCGAGACAACCCAACAATGAAGAATTATGAACAGGGATGGGCACAAACCAGAAAATTCCAGTTTGGTTTGGGGTGGGCCCCAACTGAAAACCGAACTAAGCAAAAAAAGCCTGAACCGGCTGGCTTAGGCCAGTTCCAGTGGTCTTTTGCCCAGCCATGGCAAGCTGCAGCCAGGAGAAAGGGAGGGAATTACCCAGGGGAGTGAGAGGAATCACTGAAATGGCTTGAATCCATTTCATACTGTCAGCGGGGCTGGTGCACTCATCAGCTGTTAGTCTGAAATAGATGCAAACCATTTCAGCAATCCCTTTCGATCCCTCCCACTTCCAAGCTGGGGGGGGGACAGAGGGGTTTAATGGCTCACAGCCATTTAAACCTAACAGCTGGATGGGTCCACTTGTCAGCTGTTAGGTTTAAATGGCTCCAAACCATTAAACCTCTCCTTCACTTCCCCCCCGCGCTTCGACGCGGGGGGGGGGGGGCGCAAGGGGGAATCACTGAAATGCCTTGCATCTATTTCAGTCTAACAGCGGGGCTGGTGTGCCCACCAGCTATCAAAGACAGTTTTTCTGGAAGATTTTAGTAGCTATGACTCATCACTGGGAAATGAGATAATGTCATGTAGGATGCCTTGTGTCATGAAGAAACTGTTAACCTGTGTTATTCACCAATTAAAATCATCTGAAGCCCAGCTCTCTATGCTGCTGCCTGCAAATGTGGGGCAAGGTGGTGACCAGAGTCAGGGCTTTTTCAGTGTTGGCACCTTGCCTTTGGAATACCCTCCCTCAGGAGCTCACCTGGCATCTACCTTACTTTTCTTTAGGCACCAGCCTCAAACATTCCTTTTTACCCAGGTTTCTAACTATGGGGTGATTCTTTTTGTTGCTGTATGACCTGTATCCATATAATTTTCGGCGGCTGATGTGTTTGTCTGTGATACTATTTTTATGCCCTGGCTAGTTTTTAATTGCCTATTTTAATAACTATGGTTTGATACGTTTGTTCTGTTGTTTAACTGTAAGCTGCCCCCAGCAGGTCTGTGGAAGGGTGGCATATACATTTTCCAAATAAGTTAAACAAAATTAAGTCTTAAGACAACTTGGTGTTTTTAAAAAATAGTGGGTTCAAAAGCCATTTAGAATTTGATTTATAATGTTTTGTTGTGGAATAAGTTAAAATGTATGTAGTTGGCCTGGCAGGAATACATGGTGAAGTGTTCATTACTTGTGAATGGTCCTTTTATTTGCATGTTAAATAACCACTGCTACAGATATATAATAATTCAGAGAAATCCAAACTCATTGCAGCTATGAATGAAAAATCAGAATGATAAAGCAAGTTTTGTGCTGTATCATATCTTTGTTTCCTTGAATATTGCTTTTCACTTAAACCAAAATAAAGAGCTTTTATAATATCAAGAACTGGATTGTTCTATGTGGATGACATAAGACCAGCATTCCAAAACAAAAGCTGTCTGTCCAGCTTTTGCTTGTTGTCTGCTGAATTCTCCTGCGGTTGTTGGTTGAAGGAAGTGGAGATGGATGTCTGAAAAGGCTGTCAGCTGTTGCTGAATCATATGCAAAGACCAGAGGAAGTGTCCTATGACATTGATTCACACTGTTCCAAGCAGATATTGCAGTCTCTGCTGGAAGACAGACAAACAATACTGTGGGGTCATGTCTTGAGCGCAAAGGTTTCAGCAGGGATTGGAATAATAATGCATGGTGGTTCTGAAGTTCTCATGGTTTGCAGTTGTGCCCAGAAGTTGCTCAGTATTTACATGGTGAAGAAGAGCAAGAGGCTCAGGGGAACACCTGAAATAGTCAAATATTTGCTTAGATCCTCGTGGACCCTTTCTGCTGCTTAGCTTTTAAAAATAAACTATCTTAAGCTTTCTAACACTGCTGGCCTATAAGGTTCCTTTGCTCTATCAAACCTGAAGCTCCTTCTAGAATTAGGGACTGAAACTCAGTTCACAATACAGTACTGTGTAATCCTCTGCTACTGTTTGGTTATGTGACGGTTCAAGTGTATGTTGAATTCCTTCTTAACAGTTGACCTCTGGTGGAACTGAGAGCATCTTGATGGCGTGTAAAGTCTACAGGGACATGGCTCATGAAAAAGGAATCAAGTACCCAGAAATGTACGCATCTCTTTCTCTTTTTTAAAAAGTGTTTATTTTTTTCCTAATAGCATTCCCAGTTTGGGGCAAGTTATCTTTGTCAGTCATTTCTTCCATCCAGTTACTGCTTGGTTAAGCTTTCAAATGTTGCCAAGGTGTACACTGAGGGAAGTGGGTTCAAAAGTCATTTAGAATTTGATTTATAATGTTCCAATTATCATGGTTAGAATTCACAGACCTACTTACATGCCTTCTGGCCTCGCATCGGCTGAGTAGGGTTTTTTTCCTTTGCACAAACAGCATGTCTTGAGCTGGATAGCCCAGGCTAGCCTGATCTCGTCAGACATCGGAAGCTAAGCAGGGGTCGGCCTTGGCTAATATTTGAATGGGAAACCTCAAAGGAATACCAGGGTCGTAACATGGAGGCAGGCAATGGCAAACCACTTCTGCACAACTCTAGCCTTGAAAAACCTATAGCGTTGCCATAAGTCAGCTGTGACCACCACCACAGATAACATGCTCACTGCATGCAGTTTCAAAAATTCTTTGTCTTGTGGAGTATGTGGTTACTGTTTTGAGTATGAGACTCCAAAGCACGTCTTAGAACTGGTATTTTAAAGTTTTGAATTATACTGTCATGTGTGCAACCATCTGTACAAAAAAGGACCCACAGTTTCCCCTCATTCCTCTCTGTCCCAGACCCCTGGAAAGCTCATGGGGTCATGAGATCCATGCAGAGGAACCGCCAGGTGGGTCAGTGGGCTGAAGTGAGGAGGGAATAAGGAGATGAAATCACCCCCTTTCCCCAGCAGAGCTGCACTTGTGGAAGAGGAAGGAGAACTGGCTTCTTACCGTTGCTCTTCCTAGCCCTGCCCAGTGTGTAGCTTTGGGAATGATCTTTCTGGGGATTGAAAGAGGCTTCCGGAATAGAGAGGAATGCAGGGAAATTCTGCATTCCATGCATGGAGCAGTAGCATATACATCATTGGTCTTAGGTGTGCAAAAAAGTTTTTGATCAGTGTGTATTAAAGAAGTGTGATTATTATGTAGACTTCAAAGGTGTACAGCATTAAACTTGAATGATGACATCCTTTATCTAATTGTTGTGTGCTCGGTGTAAACCCTATTCGAATGAATTGTAATTACATGTTTCCTTTGGCTCGTTTTCATGACTGCCTGAATAATTCACTTGTGAAGTTTACAAAGTGTATTGTTTGTAGCTGCTGTTTTGCCCCTAATTTTGTTTCTTGCTTTCTGCTGCTGTTGAACCTTCAGAATACCTTTTGGCTTAAGCAGATGTTGTGGACGCTTTTGTGCTGTACGCCTTTGGGTTTGCTCAAGTAAACGCTGACAAAGTTAGGCACTAAGAGAATGGCTCATTCTTAATTTAACTAAAATTGGAAAAGATGGTGCTGACCTCTGATACACTACTGTTTTCCAGTATGTTGTATGTTCCTTAATGAAGTTAAATATACTTTTTTTCGGCAAGCTACTCGCAAGAAAGACAGTGAGTCTGAGTGTTGAATGTTTCCAGAATGCTGTCCCTTCTAGTATTTTAGCATTGTGCAAAGCAGGTACGAGAAGTACCTCTGGAGGCAGCTTGATTAAAGCTTACACCACTGCCATCTACTGGGTATCTCATAAATTGCATGTTTCTACTTTTTCTTTTTTGCCTTAAAGTAGCAGCCAATTTATGACAACCTCATGGGATTTTCAAGGCAAGAGACATTCAGAGGTGTCTGCCTCTGCCTAGAGCTCCTGGTATTCCTTGGTGGTCTCCCATCCAATTACTAACCAAGGCTGGTCCTGCTCAGCTTCAGAGATCTGATGAGATCAGGCCAGCCTGGGCTATCCAGGTCAGGGCTGTTTTTCATTAGCTCGGTTTAAATGCTCAGCTGAATTATGGAACGAGGCAGATCAGTGGCAGACTTGAGGTGATGCTGCTCATGTGAATAAGACCATCTGCGTCAGCATTGGTGGGGGCACTTCAGGTGGTGAAAAGTCTTTCCTGTCGTCTGTTTAACTGGAGATGCCCGGGGCTGAGCTCGGGACCTTTTGCATTACAAAGTGTTTTTTCTGCTGCTGGGCCCTGTAGAACTCTACAACTTCTGAACAAAAATTCAGAGAGATCCTTTAGACACACATACTCAAAGATTCGTGCATGTCCTATAAGATTTTTTGAGAGTTTTTAATTGGTCAACTAACAGCAGCCCCTTCATGCAGTGATTTTTGAAGCTCACCTGCTTTTCATACTCTGTGTGTGAGTGAAATCCTTGTTGCGCATGCCGAATGAGCTTTCTACTAATTGCAGCTGTAGACTATAATGACATAGCAGTACTGCAGCAAGGGTAGAAAGTTGTATCTTTGTGTGTGCAGCTTCAACACACAAAACCAAAATCCCACAGAGGATCAGCTTAGTTTTAAAACTGTCCATTAGATGAAGATGTATCCAACCCCCCATTTTCCTGGCCTTTGTGTGTGTGTGTGTGTGTGTGTGTGTGTGTGTGTGTGTGTGTGTGTTCGCGCGCAGTAAATTAGGGAAGGGGCAGTAAGCTGAGCAGGGATTGTAAACATCTGCAGACATTTGCTGAGGTATGTTGCTTCCATTTTTGCCTTTCAGCCTGGCTCCAGTGAGTGCCCATGCGGCTTTTGACAAGGCCGCTCATTATTTTGGGATGAAGATGGTGCACATTCCATTGACCAAGAATATGCAAGTAGACGTGAAGGTATCACTCCAGTCTTTCCAGACATCTGTTATTTATGCCCAGAATTGCTCCACTAGTAGTTGGGTCTGGGTTAAAATATTAAACAACATTATTTTGAATGAGGAGTGAACGGGGGGAAAAATTAAAGAGTTTTTCCCCCTCTTTGAGTCGTTACGTGCTTTTGAATTTCTTTTTTTATAATCTGTTTATTAATTTTTAGACAAACAAACATAAACTAGAACATATAGATATTGTGACACATCAACTTTCAAATTTGGGTTAATAGATTAACTATACATTATCCAGTCAAAAAAGCAATTAATTATTAAATACCACAACCTACTAATCTTTCCCAATCATATATCTAATATCACGTATTACAAGATCCTATAAATTACTCCAACAAATAAATTTATAGTAGATCAGACTTACAATTCCTATACCATCAAAGCCATTCTCAATAAATAATCTTGACATTAATGTCTCTGTTCCACTTGTTTAAGCAACCAATATTCTATCCCCTATTTGAACTGCTATGAATATATCCATTTTAAATTAATTTTAAGCCTAAAAAAATAGAGAGTCCACTAACAACAAACATTAGCATGTGGCTGTGCTGTCTTTAAATAGAGATACAATTAACTGTTAGCCAGCTCTTAACATAAAATTCAAATTTTTAGTAGCTCATATCATTGTTGTTATCTTAATTGCTTTACAATAACATTAAAACCCCTCTTATATTTCTATTTAAATATCTCAATCCTTGTTGCTAATTTAAATTCAATTCATTCTAGCAACATATATAAAGCAATACCCATCAAAAACATAAAGATAAAGATACTCTTCCAGCATATTGTGAAGTTACAAACTATCCATTATTCTGTCACGATAACAACAGGGTCCTTTTTTTAAAAAAAAAAAATTAAGCCATTGCAGTTAACCGCTAGCCAGCTCTTAGCATAAGGTTCAAATTTTGGTAGCTCATATCATTGTTGTTATCTTAATTGCTTTACAATAACATTAAAACCCCTCTTATATTTCTGTTCAACTATCTCATTCCTTGTTGCTAATTTAAATTCAATTCATTCTAGAAACACATATAAAGCCAAAAACCCTCAAAAACAAAAAGATAAAGATACTCTACCAGCATGTTGTGAAGTTACAAACTATCCATTATTCTGCCCTTTTTTTTAAAAAAAAAATAAGCCATTCTACCCAAAACTAGCGAGCTACCACAAAAAGAGCCAGTTTGGTGTAGTGGTTAAGTGCGCGGACCCTAATCTGGGAGAACCGGGTTTGATTCCCCACTCCTCCACTTGCACCTGCTGATGTGACCTTGGGTCAGTCACAAGCTCTGGCACAGCTGTCCTTGAAAAAGAGCAGTTTCTGTCAGAGTTCTCTCAGCCCCACCCACCTCACAGGGTGTCTGTTGTGGGGAGGGGAAGGGAAAGGAGTTTGTAAGCCGCTCTGAGACTCCAAGTGAAGGGCGGGGTATAAATCCAATCTCTTCTTCTTCTTCTTCTTATGTCTTTATCCTCCCCCCCTTTCTAACGCTTCTCTTTTCTTTTCAATTTCTTTCAGATGTCTCAAATTTTTATACTCATGAGGTTCCTTTTCCAAATCCATTCTTCCGTTTTCCAAAAATCCAATCTTCAGTCTTTTTTCCACTTTAAATCTCTTTACCACGTTCTTCCCTCCTCTTTTTCTTTTTTCCAGCTTTCTGCTGCACAGATTATTGGTTCTTTTGAGCAATGTCCAATGTCACTACCTATATCTTGGTCTTTTTCCACTGAAATCAGGTAATCTTTAGGCAATTTCTTCGCTCTTTCCTGTGAGTAATCTCGTTCCCCCCCACACTTTTGAATATCTTGGATTTGAACACCCTTGTTACTTTTATCTTGGTTTACATTTAAATAATTTTCCACAAGATTACTACAGGCAGATTTGACTGCTTGGGTAATTTCTCTCACCAAAAAGTTCTGAAATTGTTCCCAGGTGAGGGTTTCAACTAATGTATCTGGATCCCATTCTTCCTCAGCCAATCCCAGTTCCATAACGCCACAAATTTTTGAACAAAGTTTCCAAAGTCACTTTATGTAACCCTGTTAATTTATTGTTTTGTTACTTTCCATCAGGTTCCATTCATAGCAAACAGTTGCAGTTCAGATAGGACAAAAAAGAAACTTTTCTTACCCCCTCAACTTTACAACAAATTCCGTCCCCAGTCATTTTGCAGCCGCTTCTTCATGATTGGGAACATCTTCTAGGGGCATTTAAATCCCGAATGCTTCAATCTTCTCTTGTTTCTACGTGATTAAATCTCTTCGTGTGATGTGTAGCTAATTTTCCTCGTATACAGTTAAAAACACCGGCCAGTCGCCGTTACGGAAAACATGGCAGCCATGTTTTCTCTGCTACTCCGCTCCTGCTTCAGGGCGAGTCCGCAACACCCCCGCGATTTGCCGTCTCCGGGGGTGGCTGAAAAGCCCCCTGCTGCTCTCCTCCCTCCAGGAGGTTCAGCCGAGGGTCCCCGCAAGTGCAGGAAACCCCCAAAAAGCGAAGAGGGAACGAACGGCCCGGGAAGCTCCCTGGACACGTCCGCTCGCGGCGCCAACACCGGAAGCTCTCCTTGTGCTTTTGAATTTCTTGAAGTTCTGAGGACTGATACGTGGAGGATGCTGAGTAGCTAATCATTTCCTCTCAATTTGTTTTTCTTCACCAGGCAATGAAGAGAGCCATTTCCAGGAACACAGCAATGCTAGTCTGCTCATCACCCCAGTACCCTCATGGGATCATAGACCCAATTGAAGAGGTGGCAGAGGTAATAGCACTTATCAGCAGTTTCCACGCACAATTGCTGTAGCTCTCCAGTGAAAGGGAAACATGAATAGAGTTCTTGCAGTCCAGGAGATTGCATTCATATGGGATTACTTTTGCTGGTTGTAGGAGGGATCATCATTAAGCATGCAGGATCCCCCCCCCCCTTTTGTAGATGAAAAACGAAAGCCCCGTTGAATGCTCAGGTCCAGTGCCCAGAAGCACAGAGAGCACGCAGAGCACCCTCAAAAACTGCTGCTGTGGCCTGATTCTGATGTAGCTGAATGTTGCTCTGCATCCAGTTGTGAGTGATTTGATATCACGATTTTGCGGGCTTGCAACATTGCAGATTTTCATTTATGCAATGACTCAAGTTTTCACAGACGCACTGTCAGAATTATGCTGCTCAGCTGTAGAGCAACATTTGAACGATTAAAGGATGTCCCTGTCTGCTCGCTTCTGGAGAGAGACGATGCAGCCATTTGAGTAAGGGGTTGATATTTTAATGAGCAGCCTGGAGAGCCTGGCAGCCTGAGCTTGTTGAAGCGTGGGTCAGCCACGGTTAGTACTTGGATGGGAGACCGCCGAGGAAGTGTGGGGGGTGCCACATGGAGGAAGGCAACAGCTTCCTCTGTTCCTCTCTTGCCTGGAACGCCCCAGGATTTGAGTTGTTTGCAACTTGGGGGCACCTCCTTTATCTTATGGTCTTTTACCACTATTTTAGTCTGGAAACTATCACTTTAAACGGTCTGTGGCCTGTCTGTGGTAGTCTTTGTTTTCATGCTGGGCAAGGGTTTTTGTTCTACCTTAATAAAGGTAAAGGTTCCCTTGCTCGAAAGCCAGTCGAGTCCGACTCTAGGGTTGCGGTGCTCATCTCCGTTTCAAAGCTGAAGAGCCAGCGCTGTCCGAAGACGTTTCCGTGGTCATGTGGCCGGCATGACTAAGCACCAAGGCGCACGGAACACTGTTACCTTCCCACCGAAGTGGTACCTATTTATCTACTTGCAATTTCTTGCTTTCGAACTGCTAGGTTGGCAGGAGGTGGAACTAGAGATGGGAGCTCACTCCATCATGTGGCAACTCAGGTCTCGAACTGCTGAACTACTGACCTTTCACAGCCTGCAGTTCAGCGTCTTAACCACTTGAGCCACCGCAGCTCCTTAATACTCCACCTTAATACTGGATTTTAATATATTTTAATGTTTGTTTTTCTTTATTTTCTATCCTGCCTTGGACAGGTTACTGGAGAGGCAGTATAGACCCCCCCCCCCCAAAAAAAATAAGATAATAAATAAATTAATGGCTGCAAGAAGTGTCGGTGACTGGATGTACAAATTCATCAACTGAATAGGCTGTTCACTCATGCATACTGCTTAGGTAGGCAGCATGAGGACCAAAATTCAGCATTTGAGAGGGGAGCAATTGGGATTTTGTCAATTGGGCAGGGCAGGGCTGCTTTGGGGGGAAAGGAAAACAGGATGTCACTTGCAGAAGGGATTACTTGTGGATGAGGTTGAACAAGAAGCAGCCCTTGATTGATAAGAGTCTCCAGACGCCTCCTGCTTGTAATTCCTGATTCCCCCCCACCCCAACTCTAGCAAAGCCAGCTAGCAGCAGGTCTGTATCAAAGTCTTGCAGTCCGCAGCCTGAGAATTGTGCATGTTCAGATCTTTGTGGAGAATATTTAGATTCTTTCAAGTGCATGACTTAGTTGGTACTTGGGGCTGAGACTCAAGCAAAAAGTTAATTCTTATTGCTTTGGTTTAGCTTAAGATACTAAAGACCAGTTTTTATTTTTTAATTTCCATGTAGCTTGCAGTGAAATACAAGATTCCCTTCCATGTGGATGCCTGCCTAGGAGGGTTTCTCATTGTCTTTATGGAGAAGGCAGGTTTCCCTTTGAAATGCCAGTTTGACTTCCGAGTGAAAGGTGTCACCAGCATTTCTGCAGATACCCACAAGGTGAGAGAAAATAAGTTTGAGTTGAACTGGATCAGACATGTTTCCTACTATCTGGAAGCAGCATTAGAATTCCTAATGTTAACTCCATATAGTATGAAAAGAGGTTGTACTATTAGTTCTGAAACTCAAGACATCTAAGATTCCTTTCAGCCCTAAGCAGAGGTTCTTGAAAACAGATTTCATTAAAATCAATTGGAATGGCATGCTTACGATTTTGATGTAAATTTGCATGTAATTAAAAATGGGGTGGGGGGCAATGTTCCCTCTAAGCTGTGGAGTCTGGTCAGCAAAAATTCTACTTTGTGAGTTACTGGCATTAAAGTTGTGAGTGAGAAATTTGCCTACTGCATAAATTAGTTTGCTCTGGACCCCTCCTTCCTGAGCGAAGACAAAAATGTGCAAGCCGGAGGGTAAAAAGCTGTGAGCTAGCTCACACTAACTCAGTTTAGAGGGAACACTGGAGGGGGAAACAAAGACATGAACTGAGCACCAGATATATTAATCTTCAGAATCTAGATTGTTTGGCACTGGGAACCCAAGTGAAGCTCAATCTTTAAGCACATTAATGTATACACTTTATATTATGAAAGAGAAGTTTTGTTGGCTTGTATCCAATATATTGTCTGCAGAAGGTGCTCAGAGTTTACTCACAACTTGTGCTCCTGCAGTCCCTTCTGACTCCTGATTCCTGGGGTCACAGAACCTGTATGGAAGAGTAGCCACATAGGTTGTAGAGTGGCAGTGAAGATGGGAAAGTGGGTAACATAATTTAATCCATCCAATTGAAGTCAATTTTCCCAGGGTCTCTAAGGACTGCAGGAGCAGACTGGAATGTGGGAATGCTCTTGTGTACCAAGAGCACTTGGTTGGATACAAGCCAATAACCCCCCCCCCCCCCGCTTCTATCTTTATTTTCCAAAGAACAAAAAACAAACAGTACAGAAAAAACAACAACAGACAGTACACACAGCAGGAACCCCTCATCTTAACCGTAAATTAGCAATTGAAAGTTTTTGCTCTTATATCATTCCTTTTTATAGGAAGAAAAAAAAAGCTTAGAAATTTTCCTCCAACCAGTTATAAACACGTGACCCAAGTATTTTGAAAAGTAGTTTCTTCCTTTCCTTGCAATTTCGTTGTTAAATTATCTAATTCTGCTACCTCCGTAAGTTTATTAATTAGGTCCTGTTTGGATGGTACTTCTTCCTTCTTCCAGAATTTCGCAAATATAATCCTAGCGGCTGTAACTATGTGTATAAACAAATATTTGTCTGATTTTTGCAGACTTTCAAGCATTATATTTAGTAGAAATATTTCCGGATCTAACTAAACGTGGGCACCAATTATTTGTGATTTCATAATGGACTGCCTGGCACATTAAGGCATTTGTCTGGAAATTCTGTGTCAACCTCTTACATTGCAACTTGAACCTCCTGTCCTCTTTACAGTATGGCTATGCCCCGAAGGGCTCCTCAGTGATAATGTACAGTGAGAAGAAATACCGGTACTACCAGTTTTTTGTGTCTACTGACTGGCAAGGAGGGATCTACGCCTCCCCTGCTGTGGCTGGCTCCAGGCCTGGTGGCATCATTGCAGGTTGCTGGGCAACTATGATGCACCTGGGAGAAGATGGCTATGTGGAAGCCACCAGGAAGATAATTTCAACTGCACGGTTCCTTGAAACAGAGTATGTAGAAGGCTTCAAGAACTCTCCCCCCCACACACACACAAAGACAGACCAGCCCTTCAGCTGTCACAAACAAATGTCACAACATTCATGTCAGCGAGTAAGGAGTAGGCCCCCCTCCCCTAAAGCTGAGAGAAATGGTCTTCCCACTTTGGCTTTTTCCCTCTGTCATTCTCTTGGCTTTTTATAGCTTTCATAAACTGTTGTAACTTGATGACATGCTGACAGCCTATCCAGTCCCTCAAGAGCAGGCGCGCTATCTGGGGAGAGAAGGACACCCATTTACATCCAGTGTTGTTCTAAATGACATAGGCAAATAAATCTTCTGAATGTCAGAATTTAAAATATTCCTTCCCTTCCTTGTCCCCAATTCATTATTCGTGCCCTGTCATTCTGCCTTGGAAACTTACCAGTCTAGTATTGGTGTTGCTGGACTGATTTACCCAAATCAGTCCAGCATCAGTTTGGGATTGCTCGTTCTAATTCATGGTACTGAAATGGTCTTTTAAAGCCTTTTATGGTTTAGCGAGAAGACATTTTTCTGGTAAATATAAATGTGTTGGCTCTTCCTTTGGTAAATATGGAGGCATTTTGTTCCACAAGACCTTGTCCTGGAGGATCCAGATGAGCAAACGTCCGAAGCCTTTAGATGTAGGCAAGGATGCTGCACTGCAGAGATTACTGACTGGGCTGGCTTTGGAAGTCTCACCCACCCACCCCTCCCCCCTGACAGCCTCTTCCCTCACTAGTGCACTCCTTTAAGGAAGGATTTGAAGGTGCTCAAAATGGAGAGAACCCAGCCAATATGAATAAAATATATTGCAAGTCATGATCTGCATTGGCTTCTAAAGGTTATTGTTATGTTACTGGAATTAAGTGTGAGGGGGAGACGGGGAGAGGAAGAGAGCTTGTGGTGCTTTCTCTGTTGCCTTCTTTTGGCAGTAAAAAATTATAACACAAATTATACCATTCAAATTTTTTGTTAAGGTTGCGGAAAATGGACCACATCTTTGTTGCTGGAAATCCTGAGCTATCTGTGATCGCTGTTGGGTCTGACACATTTGACATATTTCGGTTGGGAAATATGTTAGCGACGGCAGGATGGAATTTAACTATGCTGCAGTACCCTTCAGGGTGAGTTCACTGTGATCCTAAGTGTGGTTGATGACCAACAATTAGGAGGAGGGAACCAGAAGCAGTTGCTGAGGAACACCTTTCCTCTGTTGTCACTTGTACTGCTGTATTGTGATACATACATATGTTACAGCTTCTAATTTTACAAAATATCGGAGGGGGAGGTGTCCAATGTTCCCTCTAAGCTGTGTAGTCTTGTGAGCAAAAATTCTGCTTTGTGAGCTACTGGCATTAAAGTTGTGAGCGAGCGATTTGGCTACTGCATAAACTAGTTTGCTCTGGAGCCATCCTTCCTGAGCTAAGACAAAATATGTGAGCTGGAAGCTAAAAAACTGAGCTAGCTCACACTAACTCAGCTTAGAGGGAACACTGGAGGTGTCCATCTTAAGTAGCCTTCAGAAGGTGTGCTCTGCTGCAGAAATGGATGACTGTGTCCTTGCGGGTTGGATCCTGTCTCTCCAAACTGCTTTATCTGGTCTCGAGCAGGACTTTAAAATTTTAATCAAAATGCATATTTAAAGGTTTGTCCACAGCTTTGTCTAGAAAGGAAAGGAAGAGAAGGAGAGAAAACGATTTGCTCAATCCATGCTTTAATCTTTATCTCTCTTTAGGCCTTATTTATATGACCATGGTAGTGGTTGGAAGATATCGAATAGATTGAATGAAAATTTTATTGTATTGGTGTCCCATGTGCCTTATGGGAAAGGCATAGGACTTCTGTGAAACTAACTTTTTGAGGGGAACTTTTTGGGAAGCACGTTTGTTCCTCAGGTCCCCATCCCTGTCAGTGACCTCATGCTGCCAAGACACACACACACTTCACACAATTGGTAGTGCCAGTCCGACCCACCTGTGATGCTCGTGCACGGTGTAGTGAAAAGCAGGCTTTCAGATCACTGTTGGGAGACAATGCCTTCCCCCCAAAATACGGGTGTACTGCTTCCCTTTTCTCATTTTCAGAAAAGGCAGGGATAAAACTGAGCTGTGACGGCGAGTGTGCTACAGGACAATAAATACTTTAACATAAATTCTACAGATTTAAAGCAATTAAAGGTTTAGATGTCAGTTTTTATATTACACTATTTTAAGACTACTGTTGGTGCATGTGAATGTTCCACAAAATATATATTTTCCTTTTTACCCACTTTATTTTTAAGCTGTGCTGAAATATTCTAATCAAATAGTCTGGAAGTGGGAGATTTGTTACTTCTCCCTTTCTTGTGGTCAGAACAAGGTGCAGGGATGGGAGACCAGGTCGTACATTCCACACACACCCCCACCCCGAAACTGCTTGTTGGATCTAGTTCACAAACTCTGACAGGGCAGGACCTCGAGACCATACAGGAGAAGGTCTGTCCAGTCCTCTGAGTGTCAGGAAATCTTCCCTGAGCCCAGAAGTGCACCACTTCTCCTAGCACCTGGCTCACTTCTACAAAGTGTGCACTTCTGGTACTCTGTGCCAGGACTTAACAGAATGACCTCTGATGACCAGTTTAAAGGAGGGACCTCATTAAACTGGTTTCTGCAGCCATTCCTTATAGAATCTCTGTTTCCAGACGATTGGCATTTGCAGGCAAAATCAGTGAACCATTCCACTCACAAACCATTCCATTCTTTTAAACAAGTCACTCACGTACCTTCTGTATTTAAAAGGCACTGTGTGGAAACAGTTATGAATGCTCTGTGCTCCATGGAGCTATTAGCACATCATCCCTCTTTAGATGTTAAGAGTGCAGGAAAGATGAAGCCAAAGCAGCTAGCACTCATGCAACATCTGGAATTTGTGTGGCTGTCAAATATAATCTGAGAATTCCATGTGCACTCTTGATGTATTGAATGGCGGGCAAAGAAAACAAAACACACACACAAAAAAACTTTTCAGGTTTCCCAGAGATTTTCTGAAGGATGTATAAACAAAAATAGTTTCTTTCATTGTTTAAAAAAGAAGCTAACATATTTTCTCTCATGCCATCTCTTCCCTAGTCTCCATATTTCCCTAACATTATTGCACACAAAACCTGGCGTGGCAGAACAACTCTTGAAGGATATCCGAGAGTCCGTTTCTGAGATCATGAAGGACCCTAAAGCCAAAACTACTGGTGCGGTAAGGCAATTTGAAGGGAAGTTTGGATTGAATTTAGAGTGGAACATAGTTGTTTGGGATGAAAATCTAATTATATTTTGTGTTGTTTGAATTTTTAGGGTGCCATCTATGGCTTGGCACAAGCCATCCCAGACAGAAGCATAATCACGGATATTTCTCATGTCTACTTGGACGCCTTGTACACCACTGAGTCCCGTACTTCTACTGACAAGCTCGGGAATGGGTCTCCACAACACCACTGATTCTGCAGTAACTTGTGCCTTCCAAGGAAAGAGAATGTCTTTTAGCAGGGGCATGTGGCAGCTCAGTGGCATCCCTCTGTCTGACAGTGGCACAGACTTCGCATAAGGGGTGGGCGCTCTGTTTTTTGTGAGTGTTCACAAGCAGCTAATAGAAATTTAATACTAATTTTATATTTTTTCAGGTGAGTGCACACTGCCATAAACCTGAAAGAAATAGCCGTATTCATGGCTATTTCATTCTGTAGTCCCTTGTAACTCAGGTGTTTGTTTAAAATCTGTTCATTCCCTGCCACTGTTCCCTTTGAATCGATCCTGTACTTCACTCGCCTGCATTTTGTGTGTTGTAATGTTGAATGGTCAACCATTGAGAAACTTTCTTTCCCTGAGTGAAGGCAAAAAGTAGAGGAATGGTTTTTCAGAGCAGGATCTTGAATACTTTGTTCTGATGCTTGTAGTCCTGATTCTTTGTTCCTTTCCTTCCTCTCTCTGGTTTTACTTCCAGTGTCTACCCCTATAGCCTTGCTGCTTTCTCTGGAGTTTTTACAGTACCGCCTTGTTGAGCTGAGCAAAATGGTTATTCATTCCTTAGTATGCAATCTGAAGGGTTTGCACTAAGTTAAGATGCTGCAGGCAGCATACTTGGAAAGATAACTGGGATTCCTGGGTGCCAGCATCATTTGATGAAGAGCCCGAATACTAGAGCAGATTCCAGCTCTGTAAGTGGGAGGTTTTGGATAAGCATGGCAACAACAGCTAACTATTTACCTGCCATTTTGAGTGCAAAATGATCACCTTTATGTAGCAGTGGTCTCTATTGTGCTCACTGTTAGGCATGTTTTCAAAGGGGACTTACAGGTTTGCCTTAATGCTGATAGCAGTCCTTCTGGGATGCCAAAGATCAGCTGTTGACTGAAACTTCTTGATGGTACTACACTGAAAATAGCCTCAGGTACAATACACTCCACCCTCCATCATACAGTGTTGTCCCAGCCAGACCTCTCCAGTTACCCCTCCCTCTTGCATTCTAACCACGTTAAACTTTGGCCCTTTCAGTCTGCTGGTTTTCTAGAAACAAAGTAAGACTTGAAGTAAGGGGTAGAGTATAGTTTGAAGTCCGAACTGAACCTATGTCTGAATGCCACTAGATTTGTACTACCTTATGGAAGCCTAGTACACCCAGAACTGAAGGAGGCGTGACAGATGGCTTGCTCTCAGCTTGATGGGTTCAGCACAGGGGGATTAGTCTTCTTCACCAGTAGTATAATATTTTGTCTTGGACACGCTGAATGTAAAACAACTTGAAGGCTATTGTCTGAGTGGAAAGTGAAACCTAAAGGGAACCATTGTCATTTATCTTCTGTATAACTGATCCAAGTGGAATATACAAGTGTTTCCATCTTTTGGCAAAACTCTGCATTGAACTTTCTTGTCAAATGAAAATCAGAAACTCTGTTCAGATTTTATTTAAAGAAAGTTTCACAACAGACATTGTGTCTGTAGCATTTTTTATTTAGGTAACTCTGCAACTGTACTTGACTGGGCTGATACAATATTGCTTGAACAACTACAGTCTAAGGATGTTATAAGAAAGCAACTTGACACAAGATGTGTTTCAAAGGTAAAAAAATGTAAGAGCTTGAGTAAGACTCACTATTCAGTAGGGATTCCTTAACCAAGGCAACTGTGGTGGGTACAGCAAGGGTGAGCTCAGTGACAGAGAACAAACAGCAATACTGATACTGGGTTAACATCGAGAACAACATTGTTTGGTCAGACAGTCCATTTGGCAAGATGCTCTTCAGACACAAGAGAAGGGGCATCTGAGGGGAGGTTCCACAATTCAGGCTCATGTACTTGTCATTTCAAGACAAAGAACCTGCAACTTGCTCTATATAACTGGCCAGGTTAATGTCCCGCTCAGATAAGCCCGCACACTCATGGGTGCTTAAGGTTATATGAACCTGCAATAGAAAAAGTGTCCAGTTAGACAACATTTTACACTTCAGTCTTTACTGAAATCAAGCAGGTTTGTAGCAAGGTCGCACGATTTAGAGTTAAGGCACTGTTAACACCCCAAAGCAGACTGTATGAACAGGTGAGTGTTTGGGCATCACAAGGACCAGGAGACTGGCTCAGTTTGATTCTGTGAGAGTTCCACTGAAACACTGTTTGTAAGGCAGGCAATTCTCCTCCTTTGAAGAGAATGGTAAACCATACTGTACCACAGCCAAGGTGCCAAACAGCCAGTAGCCCCTGCTCCTTCATAAAGTGCTTTCAGGCTTCACCTTGGAAAAGGAGCTGAAGGAAACGCTCCCCCTTCCCACTTATTTTACCTCCACCTGTGTCTGCCAGCTGATTAAGCATAAGAACAGCTGGTGGGGAAGTATTTGAGAAGCACAGGAAGCCACCTGCTTCGCAAACGCTGTGCCAGGCTAAGCACTCCTGCTTTTTGAGGCCTGAAAAGGGTGTGCATGCCGAATGCATTTCATACTTGCTGGAATGGAGGTGAGCAAATGTAACAGTCTTGCTCCTGCAACTAGGGTGCATTTAGCATACTCCGTGTGAGCTGTAACCAGATTTCATCTCTCTTACCTTGTTGTAAACATTGAACCATTCAGGGTGATGGTCCAGTTTCTCTGCCTGGAGAGCTACTCTGGTCATAAATCCAAAAGCCTGCCAAGGAGGTACAAGATAAATTAGGAAGACCCTTGTCATGAGTTTCTCTTAGAGAATAACTCAACCCTAAACTGACCCTGGAACACTTATCTGTTCCCTTTCCATGTGGAACGAGCCTGAGGGTGCGCCACTGAACCACTGTACTCTGCAGATATGAAATATGGGTTCCAACCATATTTGTGCACAAGTTATGGAGTGTTTCAAATTGTTGATATAATTAGTACCATAGAATACCATTAAATAACCAAATAAAACCCCCGAGGTCTGAAGTGGCATACACAGGATCATGCTACTCTGAAAAGTTTGAACATGGAATACAAGTACCAATGATTTCCCATTGATTTCAGTAGGATCTGGATTGTACCGATACTATTATATCCTGTTTCTGAATAGGCTAATAAGGCAAAGCTATTTCCAGACTGACAGACAACAGCTACAGAATCCAAGCAGCTCAGTTTCTTTTGAAGTGTTGCGAAAGATCCTAAGCACTATAGCCATGTATACCCAAAGGAAGCGACGCCATGCCGCAACTGTAACCCCAGGTGCCCTGTCAGGGACACATGCTGAAGTGGTTTCCTTTTATCATCTTCCTGCACATGAGCTGCATGGCAGCTTCCCCCACGTTGTTGCTAATTTGCACCCCTTCCAAGCCCTTGACATCTGTACTAGTAGCTAACTGCCTAAAAGTTTCCATAGAGGGAAGAAGAAAACAAGAATTTGGTTACTCGATTGAAGTCCTTGAAATGGAACTCTTTGTAAATGGCATCTCTGCCGTCCACCTCATTCCATCCCACAGCTCTGAGATTTGGCAGCAGCTGTTCTCGCTCTTCGCCACTTAGTCTGTGGGCTTTTCCTGCCTAGGAAAGAAAAAAAGGAAGCACTGTGATTGAGGAGACTCTGGAATTCAGTTTAATTTGTATGACACGAAACACACATTTGCAGCATGAACCCGGAATATGCTTTCGGCAAAATGACATCTGTGCTTTAATTGAGTAGTATCACGGTTGAAAGTTAGATCTCATGGCTGATGTCAGGGTTGATACTCAGGGGAGCATGTGCTTTAAAGCAGAAGGTTCTAGATTCAGCTGTCAACCACAAAGATCAGGAAAGTGCTGACAGGAAAGGCCTGACAACGTTTGGATCAGTTGAGGCTCCATCTTCTTGTTGCACAAAGTGGTATGTCTGGCAACAAACATGTTTGTGGAACTCACCCCACACAGATCATTCTTGTTACTGTTGCTTAGACAACATCAGAGCTTAATCCAATTGGTCTGAAATCAGATTAACAGGTAGCTGGAGCCTCCAGCTAGCAGGCATCTGTTTCTATGAATGGAAAAACACTTTCCCATTAGCCAGTTTATTTGGTTAATGGTTAGAGTTTGCTCCTTTCTGCTTGTGAGGGACTGTCAGCAACTTGGAATGTGACAGCCATTCTCAGCATTTCCCATACCACATCTGAGACCCTTTAAGTCTTTCTTTGAAGAGGGACTGTTGCACAGCTTTTGACATTTTGTGTGTCTACCTTTAATGTGGAATGGGATGGGGAATAAGAAAAGAAATAAACAATCTACAAGTACATGATATTTGCACAGAACAAAGTTTGAATCCAGTGGCACCTTTAAGACCAACAAAGTTCAATTCTGTGAATAAGCTTTTATGTGCATGCAAACTTTGTTCTGTTGCTCAGGCCAACATGGCTACCCACCTGAATGGTGCTTGCATGGATAGCCTTCAGGAGGTGTTAGCAAGTGGCTCCCGACTCCACGCAGCCCTTTCCAAACTATGTGTAAGATATTTATTTATATCCACATTGGATCTGTCAGGCAGCTAATCGAAAGCCACAATTAAACCAGCACTTTCCTTCCTCCCTAGCAATTAACTACAATAAATCCAGTATGCCATGTATCAATCAGCCTGTGCCCAAAGCCTTCTGAGACAAGGCAGGTTTAACTTGAAGCTTAAAGAAGGCCAAGAGAGATGACTGCAGATGTTATAAACACACCCTAAAAGCTCTAGTGCTTTCCCATTCAAAAGAAAGCAAACCTGTTAAGTGCTAGCCCTACAACATCTCACTGGTCAGGGAGGCGCACTCGGTGTACCTAGGTGGGTGTTGAGTCGATCAGTTCATTTTTTGAACCATATTGTTTCGCCCAGAAGCCCAGGAACGATTTCCCTGTTTCCCCATTTTAAGCCCCCAGACTTTTCATTGCTGTGCCAGCCAAAGCTGAGCTCCCTTCAGTGAAGAGGCACACAGGGCTGCCGCGGCTGTTCAGCACAAAAGAGACCAGCCATTGCCCTTGTGGAGAGATCACTTGATAAGCTTGTTCAAAGTATCCTAGCAACGGGGCTCTAGAGGGAGGGAGGGAAGGTGACAGGCAGGCTCACTGGGAGGCCCTCAGCCCCACGCTCAGTCCCACCCCCCTCAGAACGGCCCAGCCAGAAGGGCAGTCATATTGGAGGATTCAGGGTATGTGGAAAGGCTCACAGACAGCAGGCTAAAAGTGTGTACACTTCAGGCACCAGTGTGTGGATGCCGCCTTCCGCATAAAACCCAGCAATTACTTTGGCACGGCAGCACGTCCCTTAGTTGGCCTTGATCATGAGGGAAAAAAGAGAGATAAGCTAGCAATGTCACAACAAGGAATACATTGATTTTCATTCCTTTTTCCCACTGGCAGGAATGAGCTCCACCTCTTAGGGGTTACACATAGTAACACCTGTTTCAGGACAGCTGCACATGCAATCACTTAAAATGGGATTTTAGAATGTCAAGCTTTGATTTCTATCATTTGGACAAAACTCCCTTTCCCGGCACAGTCTTCCTATACCCCAGTCTGCTCTACCCCTTCTCAGCAGGATCAATTTTGTATGAAATGAAGGTCCTCAGTGGCTACTGTCCCTGCTCCTAGTTACTGTAACTCATGTGTTTTGTTTTATTGGTGTGGGGGGGGGGGGGTTTGATGTGTGTGCCAGATTCTAGTCCAGCCAGGGAAAATAATGCTTTTCAGATGCTTCCTATGATCTTCAAAAGACGCAAGCATCTTATTACGGCGGACTAGAAACAGCTGGGGGTGACGTCAAACATGTTGCTTTTTAACCCTGTGAACCCCAATATAAACAAACACGGAAACCAGCGCAGGCAGACAAGTTCCTTTGCCTTCCTGTTCCAAGCTTAAAAGAGTCAGCAACTCCAAGCTTTAACTCCGCTTTTATTGCGCCAACACAACTTAACCCCCCCCCCTCCCCCCCCTACATCCAAATCTATAACTGAAGTTGTTTGCTTCGAGCTTCTTGTTTTAGTCTTGTTTTAGCCTTGACAGATCCGGGTAGCCCAAGCACAGAAACCCTGGAAGGCTTTCCGGCAGATTTGAGTCCAGCCTATGGCAGAATCCAAGCACCCATCCCCACATTAGCGGTGTGATTTCACTGCCGGGAGGTGTGACTTATGCGACTGCAGGATGGCACCACGGATCACAAAAGAGCAGAGCTATTACAATGGGAGACTACCAGCACTGCAGCCAGCTCCTTCCCCACCCCCGTGCCGGAACTTAAAACGCTCACACTTTTTTAAAAAAATCAAAGGTCCTGGAGGAAGCAAACAAGGTGCTTAACTTGGGTTTACTCATTAGCCCGTGCCCATCTCGCTAGAGCAGAGTGGGGCTCACTGCCGCCTCTCCACGCCAGGCAGCTTCACGCGCTCGTAGTCTTAAAACCTCCACCAAGCGATCCGTAGTAGGCACAAACCGCTGCCTCGCTTACCATGCCTGCAGCCTGCAGCCAGCCCTCCAGCCGTCGACCCCCGCTCGGGTGCGCCAGCAACAGGCGTCTGGCTTTATGCTCCAGCCTGATTCTCGCGTTAGCGGAAGAGGGCGCGGCCGCGGCTGGAAAGCGGGCCACAAAGCGGCTCTCGCCTAGCAGGACTAGCCAATGCCGTGCAAGCGAGGGTGGGATCGTGAGAGAATAAAAACTCCGAGACGGCGTTTGCTGTTCTTTGATGGTCACCGGAACAGAGGTGAATGCTGGGCAGGGGCGATTTGGGCAGGACTAGTGGAGAACTGTGATCAAATTGCATTTATTCCGAAATAAGAGCCCCTGAATGTTGTGGGACGTGGAAAGCTGTAGTTCGACATCACAACAAGCCAAGGGTGTAGACTTTCCAATTTCGGGGGGGGATATGGAGGCGGAGCCATGTGGGATTTAGGAAGGGGTTCTCTAGAAATTTAGGGGGACCTGGAAACCCTTGAGAACCCACCCACCCCTAGCCAGGCCCAAGGCTCAGAAACAAAGCATGGCATGGGCAAAATCCTCTACATAAAACCCTGGAGAACCACTGCCAGTCTGAGTAGACAATGATGACACTGATAGACTGATGGTAGAGAAATCATGCTTTGTGTGCCAAAGGATAAAGGTTTAAACCGAGAAGGTCTAAGAAAACAAGTTTTGGAAAGGATCTTTCTCTGTCTGGATCTCTAGAGATCACCTGCATCAGAGCAGACCATCCTGA